GAGGAGGAGGAGGAGGAGGAGGAGGAGGAGGATCGCACCGCATCGTCGACGCATCACAGACCCATCGCAGACGCATCGGCGATGCGCTGGCGGCGTCGGCGGCGCATCGGCGCCTCTGGAGCAGAGAAAATCGGGCTCCACATCTCGAGCCGCATCGCCGATGCATCGGCCAGGCGGCGCGATCCTCCGACCCCACCTGCTCGGCCCCACTTTGGGGGAGGCAGGAAGGAGGAGAGAGAGGGAAGGGAGGATGAGGATGCGGATGCGGATGCGGAGGAGGAGAAGGAGGAGGAGGAGAACGAGGAGGAGGAAGAGGCATCTGGGTAGCCTGGATGGCTTCGGGGGCCCCGACGGCCCGCCTCCCCCCGCCCCTTCCCCGTGGCGGCCGCCGGGCGCGGTCCTGGAGGGGAACGGTGACGGAGGCCTCGACGGCGTGCCCGCCGCTCCACACCTGGCGGGCGGGTGGACGAGATAAAAGGGATAGAGAGAGGTAGAGGGAGAGAGAGGAGGACGAGCAGGAGGAGGACGAGCAGGAGGATGAGGAGGAGAAGGAGGAGCAGGAGGAGGAGGCGGAGGAGGGCCAACAGGGGCTCGGCTGCACGGGCGGAGGCGGGAACGAGAGCCGGCCCAGGCAGGGTGGGCAGTCAAAGCGTCCTGCTGTAAAGAGCGGGAGCGCCGCGGCCGCGGGGCGCCCCTCCGGGCCTCCTCCCAGGGCCATCCCTGACAGCCTTTTGCCACAGGGTTGGCGTAATCTCTCCTCATGATCTCAGCATCTCCTTCTCCGGATGAGACGCGAACCGCGTTCACGTCAACATGCACACTGTGGGGAGCTAGCTCGGCTGGTTGGACCAGCGAGTCCGACATGGCGTCCTCCCAGGGCCATGCCTGACGGCCCGAGTGACGAAGAAAGAGCGGCGGGAGGCTTTACCAATCTACGGCCTTCGGGGGCCCCCACTGGGCCCCGGGACGGTCCGCCAGAACGGCGCGCAGTGAGAAGCCCGTCCTGGGGAAGGGGGGTTCCAAACCTCTGGGGGTCCACGTTGCGAGAAAAACGCGATTTCGAGGGTCTGGGTCGGGCGGCAGCGTCTCCCTCTGTGCGACCAGCTCCAGCCTGCATAGAGGGGATCGGGGATTCGGGCACCCCCTTGGCCCGCCTGGCCTCGATGTGTTCGGTCCACCTCCGTCCTTCCCCGCCTTCTTCTCCTCCTGCTCGCCCCACACATGTTCCTTCTCTCTCTCTATCCCCTCGTGCCGCTGTCGCTACTGGCACAGGTGCCGCTGTCGAAGCTGCCATCCCCCCCCCCCCAAAGGGGCGGTCCACCCCCGGTGTGTGTGTGTGTGTGTGTGTGTGTGTGCGTGTGCGTGTGCGTGTGCGTGTGCGTGTGCGTGTGCGTGTGCGTGTGCGTGTGCGTGTGCGTGTGCGTGTGCGTGTGCGTGCGCGTGCGCGTGCGCGTGCGCGTGCGCGTGCGCGTGCGCGTGCGCGTGCGCGTGCGCGTGTGTGTGTGTGTGTGTGTGTGTGTGTGTGTGTGTGTGTGTGTGTGTGTGTGTGCGCTTGTGTGTGTGTGTGTGTGCGTGCGTGCGTGCGTGCGTGCGTGCGTGCGTGCGTGCGCGCGCGTGCGTGCGTGCGTGTGTGTGTGTGTGTGTGCATACGTGCGTGTGCGTGTGTGTCTGTGATCAAACTTTGTCTGCATGGGATGCCAGAAAGGAAAAAAACACGCGGCCACTACGGGCGGAGGCCCCCCCCCGGGGGCAGGGAGGGTAGGGGCGCCCCAAGGACAGGGAGAGGAGGGCTCCCAACTTCGCGCTTCGCGCTGCGCGAAACGCGAATAAATTTGCGCTCTCGCGCCGCCTCCCAAAGGAGAAGAGGAAGATGAAGATAATCGGAGCTGAAACGCGAAGCGCGAAGAACTTCGCGCCCTCGAGGGCGCCCTTGGGAGAGGAGGAAGGCGATGAGACGAGGTGAGGCAGCGGCCTGAAGCCAGTTCGGGGGGCCTAGTCAGGCCCCGAATCGGAGGCTTCGAAGGCAAAGGCCTCCTAAAAACCTCGGCGTCCGCACTGGTGCTTGAAGCGTAGCTTTATACTTACGGACCTGCTGATCACCTTCCTGTGGGTGTTGCTCTGCTGTGATGCTTGGCTTCGAGGTTGGCGATGTTCCCCTCGGCCTGCTGCAACTGTTTTCTGGTTTCCAAGGCTATGCCTTGAGTCTGTAGTTTGGCGCACGGAGAGGATCTCATGTCGTGGGCTGGAAAGGTTTGGGCTGATTTTGTCGCCAAGCTGGGCCCAGGATCTTATAGTCTGGCTGAGGCGTTATGTAAGATTCCCGCTGGCGAAACCAACTATGTCATAAGACCACCATTCGTTTCCTTGGATGGGCGGCGCAGATAATGCTGTATGTGCTGAACTAGACTGCCATCGATCCCCATTTCTCGCCTTCCCTCCTGATTCCCCTCCCGCCACTCCTCGTGCGCAAAGCACATGCCACCAATTCTGGTGCAGTCAGGCCAGATGGGAATGACGGTGTCGAAATTGCGGCAGATATGCTCAATAATCCTAGACTAGTTGAAGTCCCGCTTGTATGACACGGCGACGAGGGATTGAGAGCCCTCAGCCGTCCAACAGATGACGAATAACCGATACTTGAAGGACTATAGCGCGGCATGCGTTCGGATGCAGTCCGAGGCCGTGCGCATTGCCCTTGACGCATCGTGCGCGACCGAAACCGACACTGTCGGAGTTGCTGGCCCCCGCTCCCGAGTCAGAACCCCAGGAGCCTGCCGAAGAGCTGACAACCTTTCTGGGCCTGGGCCAATCGTCTATCCGTAGTGGCCCGTTGTTTGGTGTGGAACTTGTGGCGGACACGGGGCTCTTGGGAGGATGGTTAAGTTTACGCCCCCTGCCCGTCCACGAGTGCCAATCAACACATGCAATAGGGAAGGGTTGAGTGTGGGCTCCACCCCAAGACGGGCGCGAATCTGGTCGAATAGTTGTGCCTTCCTCCCGGCGCGCGTCGTCGCCCCCCCTCCCCCCCCGCCGCATACGACACCTTCTGTACATGGTGCTGACGGTGGTAGAGGGCTAGGCGCCGCGGGCTCGGCGGGAGGGCTCAGCGGGACCTCCAGGGGACACGACGGTCGTGCGCTCCTCCTCATCCTCCTCCTCCTCCTCCTCCTCCTCCTCCTCCCTCCGTCCCTCCCTCCCTCGTCCTCGTCCTCGTCCTCGTCCTCGTCCTCGTCCTCGTCCTCCTCCATATCCTCATCCATGTCCTCTTCCCCCATTTCTTCCTCCATGTCCTCCTCCTCCTCCTCCTCCTCCTCCTCCTCCTCCTCCTCCTCCTCCTGATCCACCTCCTGCCCTTCCTCCTGCTCCTCCTCCTCCTCCCCCTCTTCCTCCTCCTGGCTCCTCCTCCTGGTCCCCCTCCTCCCTCTTCCTCCTCCTCCTCCCCTCCCTCGCTCCCTTCCTCCTCACCCGCTCCTTCCTCCTCCTCCCTCCTCCTCCTCCTCCTCATCCTCCTCCCTCCTTCTCCCTCTTGCTCTCCTCCTGCCTTCTCCTTCTTGCTCCTCCCTCCTCCACCTCCCTCTTGTCCTCCTCCTGGTTCCTCCGTCCTCCTCCTCCTCCTCCACCCTCCTCCTGCCACTCCCTCCCATCTCTCGCTCCCCTCCATCCCGCCCTCTCGTCCTCCTCCTCCTTCTCCTCCCCCTTTTCCATATTATCCTCTTTCTCCATTCCCTCATCATGTCCTCTCCATTTTTCCTCTTCCCTCCATTTCGTCCTCCTCCTCCTCCCTCTCTCCCTCCTCCTTCCTCCTCCTCCTCTTCCTACTCCTCCTCCTCCTCCTCCTCCTCCTCCTCGCTACCTCCTCCTCCTCCACTCCCTCCTCCTCATCCTCCTGCTCCCCCCTTTCCTGCTCCTCCTCCTCCTCCTCCTCCTCCTCCTCCTCCCTCCTCCCTCCTCTCCTCCTCCCACCCCCTCCTCCTCCTCCTCTCCTCCTCCTCCTCCTCCCCTCTCCTCCTCATCCGCCTCCCCCTCCTCCTCCTTCCTCCTCCTCCCCCGTCCGCCTTCCTCCTCCTCCCTCCTCCTCCCCCGCCGCCGCCCTCTTCCTCCTCCTCCTCCTCCTCCTCCTCCTCTCCTCCTCCCCTCCCCTCCATCGCTCTCCCCCTGCCTCCTACCTCCTCCACCCTCCCTCTTCTCTCCTGGTTACTCCTCCTCCTCCCTCCTCCCCCGCCTCCTCCTCTCCCTCCCCCTGTCTCGCTCCCTCCCTGTCGCCCTCCTCGTCCTCCTCCTTGTCCTCCTTTTCCTTATTCTCATCCTCCTCCATGTCCTCCTCCCTCTCCGCCTCCTCCTCCTCCTCCTCCTCCTCCTGATCCACCTCCTGCTCTTCCTCCTGTTCCTCCTCCTGCACCTCCTCCTGGCTCCTCCTCCTCCTCTTCCTCGCCCATGCTCTTCCTCCTCCTCCCCTCCCTCGCTCTCTCCCTCTCACCCGCTCTCTTCCTCCTCCTCCTCCTCCTCGTCCTCCTCCTCTTCTTGCTCCTCCTCCTGCTTCTCCTTCTGCTCCTCCCTCCTCCACCTCCCTCTTCCTCCTCCTGGTTCTTCCTCCTCCTCCTCCTCCTCCGCCCTCCTCCTCCACTCCCTCCCCTATCTCGCTCCCCCCTCCCGCCCTCCTCGTCCTCCTCCTCCTCCTTCTCCTCCTTTTCCATATTCTCCTCCTCCTCCTCCATTTCCTCATCCATTTCCTCTTCCCCCATTTCTTCCTCCATGTCCTCCTCCCTCTCCGCCTCCTCCTCCTCCTCCTCCTCCACCCCCTCCTCTTGCTCCTCCTCCTGCTTCTCCTCCTGCTCCTCCTCCTCAGCCTCCCTCCCACCTTCCCTCTTCCTCTTCCTGGTTCCTCTCCTCCTCCGCCCTCCTCCTCCCCTCCCTCCCCTCTCTCGCTCCCTCCCTCCCCCCCTCCTCGTCCTCCTCCTACTCCTCCTCCTCCTCCACCTCCTCCTCCTCTTCCTCCTCCTCTCCTCCTTATTCGCCTCTCCTCCTCCACCATTTCCTCATGCATTTCCTCTTCCCCCATTTCTTCTTCTTCTTCTTCCTCCTCCTCCTCCTCCTCCTCCTCCTCCTCCTCCTCCTCCCCATCGTCTTCGTCATCGTCATCGTCGTCCTCCTCTTCGTGAATCGGGCGGGGCGGGCGCAGGGCGAGGCGAGGGCCGCGCACCCAGACCGTGGCCGCGCGCTGCCGCAGGCTCAGCACCTCGGTGCGCCCCGCGCGCCGCGCGCGCGATCCCTGGTTCTTCCAACGCATCGACTCCTCGACACCTCTTTCTCCCCCCCCTCCTCCCCCTCTCCTCTCCTCGGCCTCCTCCTCCTACTCCTCCTCCCTCCTCCTTCTCCTGCTCCTGCTCCTCCTCCTCCTCCTCCTACCTCCTCCTCCTCCTCCTCCTCCTCCTCCTCCTCCTCCTCCTCCTCC